TAAACAGCCGCCTGCAGTTCCTTTTCTCCCTTCTGCCTTTTCTTCTCGCACTGCTGCAGCCGCTCCCAAATTTGCAGCCGCAAAAAGAAAGCCAAACTTACACCCCTCAATAGCACGCCACCCTAGGTTTTGTTTTTTCTAGCTATATATAGCTGCTGAAACATTCACGCTTGAAATCGGGTGGGCCTTCAGCCTTCAGCCAAATCGCTTCACACATGAATCTTCACGTGGCTTTCCTCTAGTGGCCCCCACATCCTTTCCTCTAGTGGCCCCCACGTCATTTCATGTGTTCACATTCCTGTCATTGCTCATGGAGTTCCAAGAGCTTCTCCGACGCTGCAAAAATCAAGAAAGTCAAGAAATAAGATTTTATTAATTTGAGTGGATTTTGTGTAAAGTTGAGAAATTACATGATTAGCTGAATGAGTAGTTGAGGAGGAGGAAGCAAGAAAGGGAACTAATGGCATTGAGGAAGAATATCTTGATAGAGGTGGAGATGAGAAGAGATTGCTTTCTTCTTCCTCTTTGTGGAGATGGTGGGTTCTTGAGATTTGGATTCATGTTTATGTTTTTTGACTAAGATTTTGCCCAAGAATGATGAGATTTGGGCTGCTTATGTGAATTGAGATGATTCAAAGAAGATATTTGAGTAGTTAGTAGAGGTTGAGTCTGATTTCAATGAAGTTCTCTAGAAATTAATGGTAAATTGAACAAAGAATAGATTAAAATATAGAATTATAAGTTTAGGTGTTATGGTGTTTTCAATCACCAAGTGTAACCATTTGCTAGCAACGGACATGTGTATTTCTGCATACGACGCCCCAATCAAATTGGAGGCCGAGAACTCACCAAAAAAAGGAGGCCGAGACCAACAAGGGTTCCAACTTAGCCGAATCGTCTAGTCGGCATTCTTTCATGTCGACTCGAAAGGCGGTACTAGTTGACCCTCTTGTCGAAGACGACTCACAACGAGCCCACTCGACCTGCTATTCGACGCCTCCCGATGACGACTCGAAAAGCATTACTTCTCGGCCAAGCTAAAGGACTTCGGCCTCGAACTCCCCCCACTGACAACATCGACGTCACATTTAATGCTTGGCAGGGGCCATCATGCCTCTAGCCCCGATAGTCTTCATGACTCATCGGATCACGTCGGCACCGCCATGCCTTCGATCACTTCCCATTTAATGCTGAGATGATCTCTCCTCCAGTCGCTAGTTGACACCTATAAAGCAAGTGCTGAAGTAGACGCTAGTCCATGCTTTCTCACCGCCATCCTGTGCTTGGCCATAATGATGGTTCTACCCTTTCGGTATCACTATAAATACATGTACTATTCTAACGTAAGGAAGGTTCACAAATCTGATCTTCTGAGATAGATCTGTAAATTACTACACACACAAGAACTCTCACAGTTCTTTACTTTTTCTACTCAAACTCACCAGCTGACTTGATCGTCGGAGGAATCACGGGGAACCAGTCCCCGTCCTCTCATGAGTTTCTATATGTGCAGACTTTTCAGCCACTCAACTCAGAACAAGATATTCGGGGAAGAAAATGGCTCCCTCATCAACTTCATCTCCATCCAACCATGGATTTAATTGACTGTGTGATCACTTAACATCAACATTAGGCTACTATCATTATAGCTTTGTAATCTAGTATAAGCATCCATTGAACAATGGGTGGTTATGAAATATGTTAGTGGAATGTTATGTAATGCATTTTTTTGATTTTTGCGCAAATGAAGCTATTTCCTCTGTTCCTCCTCTTTTTATTTCTATCTAGTTTTTTTTAGTTCACGAGTTTCAATATTTTGAAGTATTTTCATTGAACATTCAAAGTTAAAGAATCAACTATTAATTTTGTGAGCTAGTTTTTAAATTATGACTTAGTTGTTAATCTTATATGTTAGTTGTTGAGAGTGTGAGTTAGTTTTTAAGGTTTTGCGTTTGTTGTTAGGCCTTTTCATTAGTTGTTAAGCTTATTCATTTGTTGTTAAGTTTTTCCATTAGTTGTTAAGTTTATGCAATAGTTGTCAAGTTTATGTATTTGTTGTTAAGCTTTTTTGCTAGTTGTTAAGCTTATGTATCGGTTGTTAAGCTAATATACATTTGTTTAGCTTTTTCATTAGTTGTTAAACGTAGTCATTGATTGCTAACTTACACGTTTGTCGTTAAGTTTTTTCGTCAATTGTTAAGCTTATGCATTAGTTGTTAAGCTTATACGTTGGTTAGGCTTTTTTATTAATTGTTAAACTTATGTGTTGGTTGTTAATTTTTTGTCAGTTGTTAAGCTTATGCGTTGGTTGTTAAGCTTTTTCGTCAGTTGTTAAGCTTATACGTTGGTTGTTAAGCTTATGCGTTTATTGATAAGCTTTTTTATCAGTTGTTGAGCTTATGCATTGATTGTTAAGTTTATGTATTAATTAAACTTTTTTGTTAGTTGTTAAGCTTATGTGTTGGTTGTTAATCTTTTTTGTTAGTTATTAAGTTTATGTATTGGTTGTTAATTAAGATTTTTGCCAGTTGTTAATCTTATACGTTTGTTGTTAAGCTTTTTTATCAGTTGTTAAGCTTATGCATTAGTTGTTAAGTTTATGCGTTGGTTAAGGTTTTTTATTGGTTGTTAAGTTTATGCATCTTTTTGTAAGCTTTTTTGTCAGTTGTTAAGCTTATGTGTTACTTTTTAAGTTTTTTCGTCAGTTGTTACACTTATGTTTTGGTTGTTAATCTTTTTCGTCAGTTAAGCTTATGTGTTTGTTGTTAAGCTCTTTCCGTCTTGTAATGGAAAGAGGAGGAGTTGAGGAAATAGCTAAAATATTCACTTGCTCAAAAATTATAAATGCATTATATAACATTCCACTGACATTCCTTTACTAAAAAAATCATGAAATGCATTCCAGACTGCTTAAAGGTCAAGCTCAGTGGTTGAACTCTAAGGAGGAGGGTGAAAGAATGGTTGACTGCTTTAAGAAGAAAGAGGGTCTTGATTTTGAAACCAAATAGGCAGGGATCATGATCAATATTAGCTGCCCGTTGTCATTGCTCTTCTTCCTCCTCCTCCAATTCACAACCAAATAGGCAGGGATCAAAGAGGGCCTTGCTTTTAAACAAAGAAGCTTCTAAGTTTTACTTTTCTCTTCTATGAATCCCTCAATTTCTTTTTTGTGATGACTAAGCGCCTAGAATTTACCCTTCTTTTTTAATAAGCCCTGACTTTTCTATTTCAAACAATAAAATATCTAATATAACAGGGAGATACGAGGGTTTCTTAGTAGAGAGGAGTAAAACCTAGGAGTTTCACTGTCAAATAGTATGCATGTGTTGTGTGTGTCCCCATAAACTTGTGAGTCATATTAGAAGCTCCCAACTGTTCGGCTCCATTGTTACAAAAAAAAGTTTGGCTTCTTAGAAGCGAGGGCAAAGACTTAGAGGTTTAGTTATAATTAAAAAACATACTTTTTAGAAGAAAGGGTAAAACTTATGGCTTGATTTGTTAAAAATCAAAATTTGAGAACTTAATAGGAAAGATGGATAAAACTTAGAGACTTCTTAGGCTATGTTCTCATCAAGTAACAACTTTGATTATATTATCATTATTATTACCATTTTGTGAATATATAACTCAAAACCATTTAGTTTTCCTACATTTGATAAGATTGAATGAAGGCATATATAGAATGTTTTCTTGTTTGACTTGGGATGCTCTGATAAGTTATGGAACCCAAATAATTATAAAATATAGCGAACATATAATCTTATAAATAAAGTTCTTTTTTTAGGAAAATATTCTTAGAAAGTCAAAGAGACATGTTAGCTAATTTCATATGTTAAAATTCTAATTTTATGTCAAATAATTTCGCCCCGTTGCTTTCTATCTTTTTATCTCCACTTATTAGAACTTATGCATGTGTTGATATGTAGATAATTTTACTGTTCATATTTTGTCGTTAAGCTCTTCAATAACTATTCAACATTTGACACTAAAGAAGATCATGAACCATATCAAACATGTGTACTATTTACACACACAAAATGTAATTAATTTAGAGTCAAAATTAATTAATTTGAATGTATCTGGTTTCTAACTTTTTTTAGCTCTAATCTTGAACGCTGACTATTTTTCTTAAGTTAATGTTAGAATATAAAATATAACCCTCAAATCTTTACTATAATTTCGAAATTTGGTGCCTTAGAATGGACTTTTAAAAGTGTACCAAAGCAACCCGGGTTCAAATCCCACCGGACACAAATTTAAAGTGAATTTAAAAAAAAAACTTAACACTGGTTTATGCCCAATTCTCACCACAACTTTGAAGTTTCAATTTAATGGCTAGGAACTTTAAGAATTATCACTTCTCTGATCACAACAATTTATAAATTATTCATGCATTATCATGCAGGGTGTACATAATGGCTTAATATGCAGCCAAATCCTTTCAAATTTTGCTTCACCTTCAAGACATTAGATAAATCAAAATTTGTCATCAGAGTATGCATGCATGTTTAAAAACAAAGATCTAAATGGTTCCCTCCGAGCAAAAATAAATATATGTATATTTGAATCATAATTCCAGATCACCAACATATATATATGCCAGAAAAAAAATTTCTAGAAAAAGTTCTAGTCGTACTGAACAACTATTTATGGGACCATAACACCCTCTAAAAATTAACTTACCTCAGACTACCACATGATACTTGAGTCTATGGACGGACTTTTTCATTTATGACCCCAAATGTGTCATACATGCAAACATATGACAAGAGTAATTGCTAGCTACAACCATTGAATTAATATTCACATACAATGTATGTATGTATCCAATGACAAAAATCTCAGCCTCCTTAATGATATATAGCTAGCGTTCACATTTGTAGTCTTTGACTCTCTCTTATAAGTATATTATAGCATATTCACAGATTAATACATCAAAGCTCACATTCTTACTTCTTATATAGAGTACTGTTGAATCTCTCTCTTCTCTCTTTTCTCTCTCTCTCTCTCTCTCTCTCTCTCTCAGCTCAGCTCAACTTTACCCTTTTTCATGAGTTCATTCTTCATGATATAGGAGGATCTCTTCTCTCAAACTTTTGTCCTCTTCATGATTTTGTCCTCGTGATGTAATTAATAGTGGGGAGAAATTAAAAGGCTACATATACTTCTCCATTAGTTAGTTAGTTAGTACTATCTCTAGCTAGCTAGCTAGTAGTGCATCTTCTCTCTTAATTATTTGTTAATTTCATGGCAACGAGCTCTAATAATAATCCCGACGCAATGGAGACCGATGACTGCCCAAACCTGACCATTCAAATAGAGAGGAACCCATCTGAGTCTCGTTTGACAGAGCTTGGCATCAAGTCATGGCCCAAGTGAGCATCTCTCTCTCTCTCTCTCTCTCTCTCTCTAAATGGTTTGCTTTTAATTGGCCTAAATTTTCCCTATTTTTCGATGTCTTTATTACCTGAAAATAACTACTGGAAATGGTATGCTTTCAGATTTTTTTCAATGTTAATTTTTATCTGAAAATAACTGCTAGAAATGGTATGCTTCTTTTAGCCTATCTATTTAATTTTCAACGTTTCCCCCTGAAAATCTTCATACAACAAAAGGAAATTAACTAGTTTCTAAACAGAAATTAAAAACCTGCACGTACGTGTCTACAATTAAAAATGCAGGGCTTCCAATTAAAAGGAATTTCGAAACACAAAGTCGAGGCTTTCGAGCTTGAGATTTATATCTAAACAAGTAAGTCCTTGTTAATGAAGCGCAACCGGCCGGGCTTAATATTCACATGCAATTATTCTCAAAATTAATTCAAGGGTACTAATTAGCTAATTTCTTTCCGGCTCTTAATTAATTAATTTTTATTGCTAATGACGATATTAATGTAGGTGGGGCTGCCCTCCAGGCAAGTTCCCTCTCAAGTTCGACGCGCAGGAGACGTGCTATCTTTTAAGAGGGAAGGTGAAGGCCTACGCAAAGGGATCCAACGAGTTCGTCGAGTTCGGCGCCGGTGACCTCGTGACCATCCCCAAAGGGCTCAGGTGCACCTGGGACGTCTCCATGGCTGTTGACAAACACTACAAATTCGATTCTTCTTAATTAACTAACTGGATAGCCGATGTACCAAGGACTACTATACTATTTTGTCAATTAAGTTAACCGGAGAATTAATTGATGATTTCTCTCCATTCTTTTTCTTGGTATCTACTGCTGATCGTTAAAATCTACGTTTCTATTGTGTTAACTTCTATTAAGATGTTAATGAAGGCAATGATCAAAAACATGGGACTCTACATGAGACAGGGTGAGAGGTGTCGACTCCCTGTCGGTGAGGTGTCGGCTCCCTGTCCCATGATGCTAATGAAGGAGTCGACACCTCACATGTCCCGTATAGGGTTCCATGTTTTTGGGTCCCTATGACACCACTTTTTTTGGATGCATGTCAGTCAAAGAGCCCCTATCAGTCAATGCGGGTCTTATTCAAAGCAATGCTAATTTATTGTTCCTTTGAATGAGCTTATCCCTATCAAATGCAGAGTTTGACCATGCACCACCCCCTACCCTATTATTATATGGGTGGAGAGAAGCAAAGCAAGGGTTTGTCCTCATTTTTTTTTTTTTGGGCAACAACAACGTACCAATGCTTTTATTTTTCATCTCTAGCTAGCTTGTTGTTTATTTATTTGCTTAATTCAGCACAACTTTCTAGAGTAGTTTTCAGCTTAATTAATTACGAACGGGATTCATTAATTAATCAATGCGCGCGGGCTTCTGAGATGAGCGTGGAGGAGCTGGATTGGTTGAGACTTGAAAGGGGAAGTATGTTGCCAAAAACGGATAAGTTAGAATATGCCAAGCTAGGTGTTTACTGTGTTAGGGTTTCTAGAAATGGTAAAAGAGCCGGTTGCTAGGGTTTCCTTTAGGGTTTTTGGCATGATGGGTCTATCTGATGATCGATCGATGAGTTGAATGGCATCATTTTTATTTTTATTTTTACTTTTTTGGGGGGGGTTCAGTTCAGGGGGTTCACTCATTGCGCCTGTGGCTGACATGCGTCAAATGTCATGCTATTTTGTCCTTGAACTGCAAGATGCCTCAAATTATATTAATTGCTTTTCGTCCTCAATAATCCTGCAAAAGTGTCAAAAGCACCCTCCGTTTCGTTGGGATGAAATGACCGTGTTTGGTATCCGTGTTTGGTAACCGGTACAAAACTTGATGTCGGGTAGCGACGTGGATGCATTAGTTTTAGGGTAAAATTGCAAAATAGACCGTTTTTGCTAATTATTTAATAAAATAGACCGTTTTGCTAAATAATTAGCAAAATAGACCTTTTTTTGGCCAACAGGCTAAAAAGATGTTTATTTTGCAAAATAGCTCAAAAAACATACGGGACTAGTAGTCCCGTATGTTTTAATCACGGATTAGTGAAATTTTCTACTCAGAAAACATACGGGACTACTAGTCTCGTATGTTTTCTGAGTCACCAATCCGTGATTAGTTGGCTCTAAACATACATGACTAGTAGTCCCGTATGTTTTCTGAGCCTTGTTTTTCAAAATAGACCTCTTTTTTTCAAAAGATGTCTATTTTGCTAATTATTTTACAAAGTGGTCTATTTCACTATATATTTCATAAAAATGATCTATTTTGCAAATTTTCCCTTAGTTTTAACCTCGCATGCATTTAATATTGTAGAGTACAGAGAGAAAAGATGTCGCGTATGGGCATGCGCGTTTCATCCGAGTAATCTTTAATCCCTTAATATCCAGTCATCTTACTATCAAGCACCAAACTTGACGCCCGGTTCTCTTAAATACTTTACCTAATATAATATAATGTATGGATACACTGCTAGTATTTATAATGCGGATATTAGAGATCTAAATATATATAACCATGCATTTTATGTTGTCAAAACCAACTCCTCAAAATTTTCATAAGGTCAAATAATGGTCCCCTATTTTGGGGTCCCTGAGGAGTTTTCCATTTGAAAATTCAGGTTTTCTCAATAACATCGATCCACACGTCTTGGTATCATTAACGCTGTAATTTGAATGTTTAATTAAAAATTCCGGAACTGGGATTTTAAATCCCTGGGACTGGGAGTCCATTACCATTTTGGTGGGCTCCTTCACTTTTGGAGCGGGTGTCCTTTTGTATTAATTGTTAACATGCATGAATATATATATTAAGTTATGGTGTGTAATTTTCTGCCTTTTGGTGGCCATGCAGCTTAACTTTTATGTGAGGAATCTTTCTGAATTTGAAAAGGAAACGTGTCCTTCGAAGCTGGCAAGCTCCCATTTGTCGATGTAAAGTTGGGGGGGTCGGTTTCAAATTCTTTAAAGATAAGAGAATGAGAGGGCAAAGTTTATCTTATGAATGCAGGTTGGAGATGGGGCATAATTTTGATCCTGACATCTTTGACCAGAAACAAGGACCAAGTTCAAGATATTTTTGTTTCATTATTATTATTATTATTATTATTATTATTATTCGATTGGTTTCATTGTTAATTTGTTTCTAAGGGAACATGATGATGCCCTTACTTTTTGATTTCAAAAAAAGAACAAAAAGGAAACTTGAAGACATTCTTTTACTAAGACTAATATAATAGTCTTTAATATTTTAAATCAATATTTTAAACTACGTAACCCCCTGTTGTAAATACTGTTTTTCTCGAACGTATGAAACCCGGCTCCGCTTTCTCCGCATCAAACCCAAGCCCCAAATAACTATTGGAAAGTACTAAAATCAAAGGCCATATGATTCACCTAATATAGGTGATGAGGTAAATACGTCAAACGTATGGTTACGATATTAACAAACTCTTAAGGGTGTGTTCGGCAAACTGCTAAAACTGGGCCAAGTTTAAATTTGGTCCGGTTTTATTAGAGTTTTGTGTTTGGGAAAAGTTGTGCAAGAATTCGCTCGACTTTTTTTTTAGTTCATTTTGAAGACTCTTAACCAAGCTAGATTTGAGTCATCTCCTACATGGTTTAATTCTGATTTACTGTTAAAAAATAAAACATGAGCGGCCTAGTTTGGAGGGGTTTGCCAAATAATGGCGTGTTTGGCAAATATATAAAATTGGTTAGTGATACAACATTGGTCCAAATCCTTATTTTTAGCTTAGGAAAAATTAACTCTGAATTGAACTGGCTTTTTCTAGTTCAAAATCATGCACGTAAAAACTTGTGTATTCTCTGAAAGTTATATTAATTTCTTATTTTATTTGCAATGGCAGAAGTACCTTTTTTTTTCCTCCACGACCCAAAGAGATGCTGCAAAAGAGCTGTAATAGTATCATGCCCTCTGTGAGCTAAAAGAAAACTAAGCCAAGGTTCTTCGCACCGAAAAAGAAAAAAAAAAGAGAAAATGGAACTATCGCACGGTAAACATTATTCCACCAAATCCTAAAAAGAAATTGACTTTTACTGCAACACATACATGCATTAAAAATTTGTCACGTTTGCAATGTGTAAAACAGCAAAATCAAAGACACTTGACCGGGTTCAGCACTTCATTTAGATTGACTTTTAAGCTCGTCGTTTACAAATATGTAATTAGCTGTGTAATAAAGTTAAAAGCACACGAAAAACTCAGAACAATCTTTATAATAGTTCCTACCGTCTCAAGCAAGAAGAGACCAACCACTCAGTCAAATATGCACCTAGTCCGGCTACAATGTTCTAATCGAAACCAGTGACGTAAAACTTCGTTTATTGACCTTTTACCAGGGATTACCAAAAAAAAAGAGGACAGAAAACTAAGACCCCTCCATGAGAAAAATGTGTCTTTCAACAAAAAACAGTTTTATCAAATATTTCGCTAAAACAACATCAAGTAGATTCAGTAAATTGAAACACATCGCTGTATTATGCGATGTGCAACGAGACATACAACAGTCCCATTTTGAACACTTAAATACCATGAAAAACCACAACAGCCGGAATCATATATCATTAAATAAGGCAAAATACACAACTTCAACTTGGTCCCCATATCAACTACCAAAAGACCCTTGCATTTATCTGATGCCAGAATAACTTCATTGCACTCCCCACATACAACATAATATCAGTGTATGTATGTCTGTGCGCCCTTGTGCCCGTGTGTAGGAATACTAAATATGAGTTGTCACCTCCTGTAGCAAAATGAACTACCAAGGAATATGACAGGTGATATTACACCTTCCTACATGAGCAGGGCGGCTTCACTACTAATCAATCTCGAGATAGCTCATTTAGCGACATGAATTACCACCTTTCATAAATATAGACAGGCAGACGGACACACAGACAAACTAATAGATCCATTTAACTAGCACAAAAGAAGAATCAAACATAAAAACAGAAGTACATG